TCGGGAGGAGGGCGGTATAAAAATAAAATAATAATAATAATAATAATAATAATAATAATAATAATAATAATAATAATTAATAAATTCAGTTCAGCTTTTGTTTTACCAAACAGCTTCAAATCATCCATGTACATCAAGTGCGAGATTTTCAGTCCTTTCTTTGCAAGTTCGTATCCACAGTTCATCTTCTTCAAAATGATTGTCAGTGGTAGCATTGAGAGTATAAAAAGTAGGGGTGAAAGGGAATCGCCCTGGAAAATGCCTCGTTTAATTTCAACTTCACCCAGTTCTTCTTCATTAGCCATAAGTTTTGTTTTCCAGAGGTTCATTGAAGATTCCATGAATTTTTGTATGTTGCTGCTGATGCCTAATATTTCCAGGCATTTCTTGATCCAGCTATGGGGAACTGAATCAAATGCTTTCTTATAGTCTATCCAAGCCAATTTATTCAATTTATTCAATTTATTCAATTTATTAATTGAAAACACAAAAGAATTCAGCCAAGACATTGGTATGCAGTTTGGAATTGACAAATGTGCAACAATAGCAACCAAAGCAGGCAAGATCATAGAAGAGGATGGAATAGAACTAGAGAATGAAGAAATGATAAAGGCAGTAAAATCAGAAGAAGGCTACAAGTACTTGGGAATTTTAGAAGCCTCTGACTTAATGCATAATAAAGTCAAGGAATTAACTTCAGCCAAGTACATTCAACGAATTCGTAAGATATTAATGTCCAAATTGAGTGGAGGAAACATCATAAAAGCCATAAATACCTGGGCTATACCTGTGATTAGATACTCTGCAGGAATAATTGACTGGACCCAGATGGAGTTAGACAATTCGGACAGAAAAACAAGGAAGCTTATGACAATGAATCATGCCTTGCACCCTAAAAGTGATGTTGACCGATTATATTTACCAAGAGCAGAGGGTGGTCGAGGACTCCTACAAGTAAAGCAGACTGTGGAAGAAGAAAAATGCAGCTTGAATGATTACATCCAGAAAAGTGAAGAACCAATGATTAAGGAAGTAAATAAAGGAGGCCTTTTAAAGACAACTAAAACAAAAGCAGAATATAAGAAAGAAGTAACTGAGCAGCGAGCTGAAAATTGGAAACACAAAGCTCTGCATGGCCAATACTTGAAAAGTATTGAAGGCAAATCTGACCAGAAACTAACTTGGAACTGGTTAAGAGTTCTGAAAAGTACTGAAAAAAGAAACAGAAAGCTTTATTTTGGCAGCTCAAGAACAAGCCCTAGCCACAAACTGTATGAAGGCAAAAATTCAACATGTTACCACCAACAGCAAATGCCGCCTCTGCAATGAAAAAGAAGAGACAGTTGACCACCTGATCAGTGGGTGCAGCAAAATTTCACAAACTGACTACCTACAACGCCATGACCGTGTTGCTAAAATCATTCACTGGAAATTGTGCCAGAAGTTTGGATTTGAGTACAGCAAAAACCACTGGGAACATTAGGTTGAGAAAGTTTTAGAGAATGAGAAACTCAAGATCTTGTGGGACTTTAGGATTCAGACTGACAGGCACTTGGTCCACAACACACCTGACATAACAATAGTTGAAAAGAAAAAAGTATGGTTCATTGACATTGCAATACCTGGTGATGCACGAATTGAAGATAAGCAGCAAGAAAAAATCACAAAGTACCGGGACTTACAAATTGAAGTTGAGCGACTGTGGAAAAAGAAATCGTGTGTTGTCCCGATTGTAATTGGAGCCCTCGGAGCAATACCCAAAGGGCTACCCCGCTATTTAGAAATTCTAAATTTGCCAGACTTGAATATTTTGACTCTACAAAAAACCACCTTACTCGGAACAGCTTACATCCTCCGACGATACCTTAACAGTTCCTAGGTCCTTGGTTAGGACTCGAGCTGCTGAGCTATTAACCAGCCTCAAAGGCTGTGAATCTCACTAAAGATTAACCAATAAATAATAATAATAATAATAATTATTATTAAAAAGAACTCAGGATTTGATAGAAGGTAAAATATAAATTGCTGTAATCTGTAATATTTTACTAAAAGATAATGTTGACTAAGGGCTTCATAGTTTTATAAGATTTCTTATAGAATTGTTTCTTGTACTGCACTTAAGTATGTATCAAATAAAAATATTACTACCTACTACTAGATAATAGTTATATTATTTCAGTGGTAACACCAATGGATTGAGAACAATGAAGGTCAACAGGTGAAACACATAAACCTTTCATTTGGTTTGATTCTTATAGCTACTTTATGTTCCCTTGCATCATGGGCCTCCTGCTAGTTCATCTGGCAGTTCTGAAGTATGGAATTGTCTATTACAGGGGTGTCAAATTTGCATCATCACGGCATCGTCATGTGACGTATTGGGACTCCCCCCCCAATTCGGTAAACCAGGTGTGGGCGTGGCCAGTGTGTGACGCATGTGGCCTGTGGGCCGTGAGTTTGACAGCCCCAGTGTCAGCTTCCGACTTTCTGCTTTGGCTGCCATAAGAAACGGGGGGAGGGAGAGCGTGGGGGAGGGAAGCAAGCTGGTGGATTTTGAAGAAACGAAACCTAATCACCGAAGTGACTATCGGGTCAACCGTCATCGCATTCCTGATTGATGACGATGCCAGACGTGCTTCCACCTGACCTCTGGGAGACCTTTGGATTGGGTGATTGATGATGGACAGTGGGAGGGGATGCTTTCTATATGCAACTTTCGCGCCTATTGCTTTAGTTTCAGCTTTTCCTTGGTTGCGTTCATTTCATTTTCCAGTAAAAGTACATTACTCTATAAAATATGGAGTTTGGCTCATTCTTTCCTGGACTTTGAAGGAAGCACACCTGACACCCAGTCTATTAGTTTCTGCTTCTAAGTCAGTGAGTCTTATGTTCCAAGCAAGTATATTTAGGATTAGTTTTATTGCCTTACATGTTTATAGTTATATGATTTTTTAAAAAAAATTTGATTTATATGCCGCCCTTCTCCAGAGATTCAGGGTGGCTTACAATGCGTTAAGCAATAGTCTTCATACTTTTGTATAATATACAAAGTCATCTTATTGCCCCCATAATCTGGGTCCTTATTTTACCTACCTTAGAAAGGATGGAAGGCTGAGTCAACCTTGAGCCTGGTGAGATTTGAACTTGCAGTAATTGTAGGCAGCAGATGTAAGTGGATGTTAATAACAGTGCTTTAGTGCTTTAGTCTGCTGAGCCACCTGAGCTCCTACTAATTAAGGAATACCAGCTTCAAACTTGCCAAAAGTTTGGTAAGGAGCCAAGGTGGCGCAGTGGTTAGAGTGCAGTACTGCAGGTACTTCAGCTGACTGCTAGATCAGCAGATCAAATCTCACTGGCTCAAGGTTGACTCATCCTTCCAAGGTGGGTAAAATGAGGACCCAGATTGTTGGGGGCAATATGCTAATGCTAATGCAATATGCTAATATGCAATATGCTATATGCTAACTTTGTAAACCCCTTAGAGAGGGATGTAAAGCACTATGAAGTGGTATAGAAGTCTAAATAAAAAAAAGAGTAGGTTTTAGTCCTAAATGGCAAGAGTGGATGCTATAGCATAGCAAGGAGGAATATAGATAAATATGACATTTCCATTGTTCTCTGCCATTACTATTACATCAAAGGTGTAAGTACTTGCAATGGAAACCTTTGTTCAAATCCTTCATGATCCTGTTAACAAAGAACTTGACATCTGGATAAACATAAAGTGTAGCAACTGGCTACTGTATTAAAATCTTTGCCCTATGGGTTTAAGTTTACACAACATGCTAAGCTAAAACCAAACAAATCACTTTATGACTTAATGTAATGAGGCCTTTCAGTCACAGAGCTTCATATTTGTAGCAGCTTAACATATCCGGATGTAAATAAATTGAAAGTCAATAAAATGTGTAGATTGGAAAATTTCTTTTGAGCAGTAAATGGCAGCAGAGGTATAAAATTTGAACTCTTTCTTACCAACTAGTGGCCAATTTCTGTACATTTTATGTAAATCTGATATGGCACCACTATATGTAAATTCTATCTGTAGGACTACAGAATACGCGCTGAATGCATGGAATTAGTTGCATTTGTAATTTAAAACAATAAGTCCTATAAGAAACAAAATAGCTTGTTTATTGTAAAAAAAAAACAGTAGAAGTCAACTCCATGGTCCCTTATATCATAGGCTAAGACTGTAATGTTCTTTTGTACTAGCTTTACCAAGAGGCAGTGGGATTTACCCTGAGAAGAAAGAATAGGGTTGTCTTGTAGCCGTTAAAAAAAAAAAGTCAAAAATCCATACATCAGATTCTGCATCATGAAATACATGAAGGGAATCCTAATGTGATAGGCAACAATTCTCGTGTGAAATGCAAGATGAACTCCCCACTTCGGTTGGCTCCAACTTAGTTTTAAGAGGATCCTTCCCTCCCGTGCTAGCATATCTGTAATTATATGAATTGTGTTTACCTCTCCCCCTTAAAAAAAAAAAACAATTCCCCGTGTTTTGAATCCTCGTTAGCCGCCCAGGTACGACGGGCGAATATGTGGCCGTGTGAAATGTACCCAACCAAACCCTAATAAAACAAAATCACCCTATCCCCTAATGGTTGACGTATATAGCCGTCTGGCAACCGCTGATTTAGCATTAGATCGCGTGCAGCCGGTAAAATGAACTCCGGGTTCAGTTTATACTAGTATAAAAGAGAGCAATTTGATGCTATGAGACTAATGATTAAATCTGTGAGAGCCGCACGTTCGCTTTAAAAAAGAAAAAGAAAAGGGGGGGGGAGGTTCGTTTATCCCTTTAGAAAAAAAACCAGGCCGCCCGACCGAAAACACAGGAAATGCTCCAGGGCTCAGAACGCAGAACTAAACAGGAGCGGGAACTACGCGTGCGCACATGAGGGCAGGCGTAGGTAGTTTTACTTGCATGGGCGGAGTCTACAACATCTGCTCTCGAATCCTATTATGTTCCATTCAAAGGGAGGAGGGGGAGGGGGAAGAAGGGCCTTCCTTGAGCCGGAAGAGGAAATAGTACTTTAAGCGTTCATGGCCGCGCTCTTAGCAACGCGGAGACCGGTGTAGCGAAAGAGATTTTCGCGGAGGGGCTTAAGGCTTGCTCTCTGGTTCCGAGGGATGGCGGAGAAGTTCGATTCCCTGGAGGAGCACTTGGAAAAGTTCGTGGAAAACATCCGGCAGCTGGGCATCATTGTCAGCGACTTCCAGCCTAGCAGCCAAGCGGGACTCAGCCAGAAACTGTGAGCTCCCTGTCTCCTTCCCACTCGGGATTCCCAAACCCTTTCTCCAAAGCGAGTGGGGCTGGCGGGAGTTGCAGCGCTGGGAATTGGAGGAAATAGTCACCGGGAAGATGGCGTTTTATTTAAAGAGTTCAATGGCAAGAGTTTCACTTGCCATTGAATAGCAAATATTATTATTTTAAATATATTAGCAGCCGAACTCCCAGTAGTTTGTGTATTTGGGGTGTGTGTGTGAGGCTTAAAGAAGCCATTTACAAATCCCCTTGAAGAGTTTTATTTGTAGGCGGAATTTGAACCTTGGGCTCTATAGATATAGTTTACTTTATTGTCATTGCACAGGGTACAACGAAATTAAATGCCGTCTTCAGGGTACATTATAACTATAAAAATAAAAACACAAACATACATCCTTTACAGTCTTATATAATTGAAATTGAAAACCGGATATTGCACTATACCATAGAATTCAATATGGTTATTGCCCTGGGATAAAAGCTGTTTTTCAGCCTATTTGTCCTTGTTTTTATTGATCTGTACAGTCTGCCAGATGGTAATACTTCAAAAAAAGGGTGCCCAGGATGAGATGGATCTTTAAGAGTGTTTTGAACTTTCTGCCTAATACGGTACTGTCCTTTCAAGATTGATGTCCCTAGGCCTATTTGAAGTCTCATCAACTTAAATGAAGTTTATAAAAAACAAGTTTTGTAAAAGCCCCCTCCTCGATAAAGCTCTAATGAATTGTTAATGCTTGTGTAACTTACATTCATTAGATGGTCTGAAACAGTTTCTTTTTAAAAAATTAATTTTAGAAAACAAAAGCAAATTTATACAAGGCAGCTTTAAAGACAGTTGCTTGCAATTTAAGAGCTGGAGTATTAGGCTGTTGTTTTCTTCCTAATATTCAATGTTAACTGGAATTTACTAAGTAACTGGAATATAACATACATTGGGAATTGTTTTCACCCTTTCTTCCACAATGTGCTATTGTGGTTAAATTGTTGGATGGCGCTCCTGGGAGTTCCAGGTTCTAATCCACCGTCAGCCATTTGGTGATTTGGCCAGGCACTCATTCCCTGTGAACCTATCTACATAACAGACTTTTGTTATGAGGAAAAAAGGAAGATAAGTTATGCGTACTGTCTTGAGCACCTAGAGAAAAGTCAAGGTATCTCACAAATGAAGTATTGTTTGTAAATGTTATGGATTTCTTTTGTGACAGCTATATGATATACAGGTAGTGCTTGATTTATGACCAACATTGTGCCCAAAATTTATGTTGCTAAGCAAGACATTTGTTAAGTGAGTTTTGCCCCATTTTATTACCTTTCTTTCCACATTTGTTAAGTGAATTACTGCAGTTGGTAAGTTAGTAACATGGATACTGCGACTGGCATAAATATGAACCAGTTGCCAAGCATTTGAATTTTGATTTTGTCACCATGGTGATGCTGCAACAGTTGTGTGAAAAACAGTCATAAGCCACTTTTACAATGCCATTGTAACTTTGAATGGTCACTAAACAAACAGTTGTAAATTGAAGATTACCTGTATAGCTATTATCTATATAACAGATAATGTAGTGTAAGGTCTTTTTTATAAATTTCTTTCATTTTCTTCAAAAGCCATATAAGCTATTAACACAGGATAGAATTGGAGGTTGAAATTGTCATTCTAATTTTGTGGGCAACTCCTTGTGTTGAGCTTCAGGGCAATAATTTTAAAGGAGATTTGCTTTCTTTCCCTTTTGTTCTGAGAGCTTCTGTTTCCTTTATTTTTATTGCAAACATTTCATATTGTACAGCTAGATTGGTTATTGACAAGCCTCATAATGTCTTTTATAAACCCTCTGTTAGCACAGAGGATGTATAAATTGATAATTTGATTTCACTGTGCTATAAATTAATAAAAAATGGTTTCTGTCTAGGAATTTTATGGTTACAGGCTTGCAAGATATTGACAAGTGCCGACAACAGCTTCATGATATCAGTGTGCCTTTGGAAGTCTTTGAGTAAGTGTTTAACTTCTTACCCCAGCTGTTGGTATGTGGCCCTAGAGATATTGATACTGTTTATACAAGAACAGTCACATATCTTTTCACAGTAAATCTAATAAATTGGACTGCAGGGCATAGAGTATATGTGTAAACACTAGAAATTCATTTTTAAATATCCACAATGCTAAATAGTGTTTGATTTTTGAGAAGCATCTTATATCCTTTTGCTCTTGGGAAATACATTTGCAGAGGCTGTAGTATCTGCAATGTGAAGGTAATAAAATCTCCCTACAAATTCAAATTTGGAGGACGTTTTCATTTTTCTGGGAGTATGGTGAGGTAGTTAAAAAGTTCTAGATGTATTAAGTTTATCTTATAAATACAGTAGTGTTTATTTTTGGTTTATTTTCCAAAAAACAATGGGAAATTGTATGTTGCTTGCACTAAATTTCACTGGTATCGTCAGTTTTGCTTACAAATTGGACCATGAGAGCAATAAGTTGCTCAGTCTCATATGCAAGACTATTGAATGGTCTTCATATCTTTTCCTATATCTTTTCTGTATAGACCCAATAGATTGCTGGGAACTCAGTGTCATTAAAGGTAATCCTCGCTTAACAATCATTTGTCCAGCAACTGTTCAAAAATACAATGGTGCTGAACAAAGAGACATTTGATTGATCCCCAAAGTTATGCCATTGTAGTGTCCCTGCAGTTACATGATTGCAGTCTGGGCTCTTGGCAACCCCTTTCCACGTACAACAGATTGCCAAGCACCCCATGATCCTATGATTACCATTTGTGATCTTCCCTGCTGACTTCTCCAGAAAATCAGTGGGGAAGCCAGTAGGGAAGGTCGCAAGGATAGAGCTCACTCTCATTCCTGGGGGCTGTCTCAAAAAAGTCCATCAGGACCCATTTTGAGATGGACCCTTTTCAGCCAGCCTCTTTGAGAACAGAAATCAAATTGATTTTAGGGCAAAGTTCCTCTGCCAAGCAGCCCTTCATTCTCAAAGATGCCGACTTAAAAACTCCATAGCGAAAGCCAAATGGGATTTTAGTTTGAGGTTCTGGCACCATAGGGTGTTCAGAGCCAGGCTGACCCCTAACACCCCATTCTGCAAGTGCCCTGCACTAAATTCCCACTAAGCTTTTGCCATGGACTCTTATCAGCCACCCTCTTTGAGGGCAGAAGGGCCACCTATCAGATTGATTTCGCACCTCACAGGGCAAAATCATTCTGGCCATGTGTAGATATTCTCTACACGAGGAGAGAGGAACTGCAACACTGGGCTGAGGAAAGGAAGCTGGGATCATGAAGATGCAAGTTTTTCTGCAGCCCAGTGATAAAATTTCCTTTTGCCCATGGAATCACATGGTTGAGTGGGGAGAAGGCCCAAGCCTTCGGGGAGAGGGGTGGGGTGGAGAGGAGGTCCAAACTCCAGTGGGCTAGCTAGCCAATGCCTCTTACCCCATGGCAGATTTTTGATGCTGGGCCTCCTTCACTTCCTGAGGGGGAACTGGTAATGCAGTTGTTGAGTATGGCAGTCATATGGGTGCTTTGCTTAACAACCACAATGACTTATGATCCAAACTCGGGGCTCAATTTTGCTCATACGTTGAGTATCTGTAAACGTTTCTTAAATTCTGTGCTTTTGTGATTGTGTGGTTAAATATGTTAAATGATTAGTGTGAATTTCAGAAAATGATATTGGTAGAATACATAGCATACGTGCATGGTTAATATACATGAACCACATTAAAATCTCATAACATTTATTTTCTCAGATATATAGATCAAGGTCGTAATCCTCAATTATATACCAAAGAATGCTTGGAAAGAGCTCTAGCCAAAAATGAACAAGTGAAAGGAAAAATTGATACTATGAAGGTACGTTGTCACTTGTACATAAAAAAACCTGTATTCCTTAAGTGTACATTGTCTGCATGTGCATTCAAAAGTTTCAAGCCAATAACTACAGAATTAGTCTTTGCTGTTAACTTATTTAGTTATTTACTTTGTAAATTTATACAGTCTCCTATTGCATATGTAGGTAATGTACAAAGTTAAAAACTCAAAAACAAGACAGCAAAATAATCAAAAGCTTTTAGTAATTTAATAATCCTTTATTGATTAGCATTTAGACCATATCAGAATGCAAAATGTAAAATACAGAACAATAATAAGCATATATTAAAAAAGAGTAAAATACATGAGTAAAAGAAAATGCAAATCATATTTCTCTGGCACCCCTAAATTTATTCTATTTTAACAATAGTCTTATTTTGTATTTTATATTTTGTATTTCTAGTATGGCCTAATGGCTAATCAGTATACTACATTAAAAAAATCCTATAATCTGCAGGCAACTGCATGCAATTTCCCCAGCAGTAGAACCACTTTGCAAGCTCCATACCCATGTTACAGGATCACCAGGTGAAATGGCAGAACCCTGTCTTCAGGCCTTTCCAGAAGGCCAGCAAGATCAGAATCAATCTGACTTCAGGGCTCCCTTGAAATGAAATGTGTTGCTTTTGTTTCTTTGTGGAATTTGACTGGTTGTTGCAGGCAGAAGCTGCAAGCAAACATGCTTAATTATTGCTTCCATATTTTTTTAAAAACGTTCATATATTTTAAAAATTGCTTGGGACCATGGGGCTTTTTACTTTTTTTTTTTTTTTTGAGTTCTCACAGTTTTCTCTGGTGGAACACTTAAGTTTTTTTAAATATTAAAACATGAAAGATTTAAGGTAGTTTATATACAGTGGATAGAAAAAGTCTACTCCTGTTAACATGCAGTTTTTGAAATGAAAAAAAAAAAAAACCCAAGATGAATCATTTCAGAATTTTTTTCACTTTTTATATTAACATATAAGATGTAAACTTCTATCGAAAAACAAACAAACGGTTTTTTTGGGGGGGGAATTAAAAAAACAAGAATGTGGCTGCATAGGTGTGCACACGCTTAAATTAATACTTTGTTGAAGCACCTTTTGATTTTATGATTCTATTTTATATAAGCAAAATATACCACAGTGAGCAAATCTTCTGTATATGGCTTCATTCTTATCTGCGGTAAAGGGACTGATTTCACTGAGCCATCTCTGAGTGTTTTGTATAGTCAGTATTAGAGCTGAACGTACAAGAATGTACAAGAAAGTGAGGTTGTGCTCTGTGTTTATTCTGATTTAGCATTCATTCTTTTGGGTTATGAGCCTATCGGCATGGCACATCTTGCCTTGGGAATCTTTGCCCACTCTTCCTTGTAAAGGTGTTCCAAATCTGTCAGATTGTGAGGGTATCTCTATGAACAATTCTCTTCAGGTCACCCCACAGATTTTTAATTGGATTCAGACGTGGGCTCTGTCCTGCCCATTCCAAAACTTTGATCTTCTGGTGAAGCCACTCTTTTGTTGATTGGAAGTATGATTTGGGTTGTTGTCATGTTGAAAGGTGAAATTCCAGTTCCTTTGCATGACTTTTTTTTCCTTTTTCTCTTAGAAATTTAAAAGCCTATTGATTCAGGAACTGACTAAAGTGTTCCCAGAGGACATGGCTAAGTACAAAGCTATTCGGAGTGAAGATCCTTCTCCATAATTACATTTTCCCTTATCCTGTACTCTCTTCCAGACTCTGGTGATATATTTATATGATAATCATTGACAGTTTGAGAAGTGAAGATGTGTTCAACTGAAATACTGATTAAATATTGTATTTCTTGGCCTGGTTGGAATTCCTTTGTGCTACATCTGCAGTCACTAAGAGGTTCAAAAAGAATCCAGAACTTCAAAACATCTTCTCTTTAAAGTGACATGAAGCCTGTTTCTGAACTGAAAGTTATCTCCTTTGCATCTTGTAAATACTACACAAAGCATGGTGGGTTTAAGATTGCAGTTGGGTATTGTAGCTTATACGAAACGGAGTAGCAGTATAAAAGTGTCATTATTTCTTCCGAATTCTAAATTATTCTTTTGAATTAGTTTCTAGGGTGAAGTCTTTTTGCTATATTTTGATCTACAAAAACAATACTTGTTCATTTTGTGTTGTCATAAAAAACTGGAATGTTTCTAATATTATACATGGAAATATACTTGGAGGTATTGTCAAAGCAATTTTTAATTTCTTCCGTTTTTCATAGTTAATGAAAAATTGAACTTCTAAATATATTATAGCCTTAATATATTAAATTGTTTTACATCTTTTATGTGGTCTTCTGCTTTTTTGTTTATATCTCTTCTGATAGTCTGGAAACCATGAGAATTGATTACATAAATTGTAAACAAAGGATTTACATTTTGTATCTTATAAAAATATAGCTATAAGCTTATTCATACAGGCATGTTAATCATTTCTGGCAGTCAGTTCTGATTTGCATGGAAATGAGTTGTTATGAATAAACAGTAGAGAGAACTTGCATATCTTATCTTGAATATTTTTCATTAGAATAAATTGATGTTTAACTACCGTATTTTTTGGACTATAAGATGCACCGGTGTATAAGACGCATCAAGATTTCGAAGAGGTAAGTAAGGAAAAAAAAGTTTTTGCCCTCCCTGCAGGAGCACTCTGCAGGTCTCCCAAACCATCTGCGTGCCCTGTTTTTTGCCCATTTTTGCGCAGAGGGTTTGGGAGGCCTGCAGAGTGCTCCTGGGGTCTAGGGGAGGGCAAAAACACCCCCCGTTTTTGAGAAAAACGGGCCCATTTTTGCGAAAAATGAGGTGTGCAGAGGGTCTGGGAGGCTTGTAGAGTGCCCCTGGGGGAGGGCAAAAACGCCCCGTTTTTCTGAAAAACGGGCCTGGTTTTCACAAAAATGGAACGAGCGGGGCAGGGCTTCGGGAGGCCAAAATGGCTGAATTCAGTGTATAAGACACACCTACATTTCTACCCTCTTTTAGGGGGGAAAAAGGTGCGACTGATACTGATGGATTGATATTTAATTGTAATTACAAAGAAAGCTTATTTACATATGTGCACATGTACATATGTATATATATACAATTTTTTAAAAAATAAGCTGTATGCCTAAGGTTAAAGATAGAAATTAGGCTAGGAATGAGCAAAAAATGAAAGTGGAAATGACTTCTAAGACAGATCCATCAGGTGATCCACTGCAGCCTTCACACTCATAGGCCAAGATCTTGCTTGTTTCATCATTCCTCATTTTTTTGTTTGCAGACAATCAGATCACTTTGAAGACTGGTTTAGTGAAGCCTGCAAATTACAATAGAATATTGTATTGTGAGTCCAGACATTTAGAACACTGATAGGTGAATGGGTTTTGATGGCAGTTGCCATCTATTGCATGTACTGTGGTAAATGGAACAAAAGTTCTTGCATACACAACACCCCCACTCTGGAAAAAAAATGCAAATAGGAATTAGGCTGCTGAATAATAAAAGAGGATCTTCTTGAACTGAAGCCATTGTGTATGTTTAAGGGGGAACTTCAGCTCCCTATGTATCCATACCTTAGTTTCACTGATTCTAGAAGCAGCATTGCTTTACAGGCAGGAAACAGGTAAAGGCTACATGGTAGAGAAGTTAGAGTGATTAAGTCATATCTTTGATTTTAGTGTTTCAGTTGCCAGTTCTCCCTTCTGACAGAAATGGCTACAAAAACTTTTGGTTTCAGTTAAGACTAATTCTTTGGATTCATCAAAATGTCAGCCCAGTTTCGAAAGTTCTGGTGACTAGTACTGATTTTGATGTATAATCAGTGATTATTGCCTGAGCCACTACAACTTATGACCACAATTGAGCCCAACATTTCTGTTGCTAAGTGAGAAATTCGTTAAATGAGTTTTGTCCCACTTTACAACTTTTCTTGCCACATTTGTTAAGTGAATCACTGCAGTTGAATTAGTGACATGGTTGTTAAGTGAATCTGGTTTCCCCATTGGCTTTGCTTGTCAGAAGGTTGCAAAAGGGGATTATATGACTATGAGACACTGCAACTGTCATAAATACGAGTCAGTTGCCAAGTGTCTGAATTTTAATCACATGACCATGGAGATGCTGCAATGTTCATCAGTGAAAAACGGTCATAAGTCACTTTTTTCAGTACCATTGTAACTTCAAACGGTCACTAAGCAAACTTGTAAATTGAGGACTACCTGTAATTCTGCCTTTGGCAACATTCCAACTATGGCTGGCTAAGAACTGCAGTAAGACTAACCTAGATTTGACTGTGAAGGGTGTGGTTACTAGTTTGCTGATATTTTTGATGATTATTAAAATATTGGCCTCATGAGACCCTCTAAAAAGAATATAGTTAGTTGTATTGCTGAGATATCTTCTGAGGAATCCTGTCTTTTGAACTCATTATCCCTAAAATTAAGTAATGGAAGTATTTAGCAATGAGACCGTTAAAACTTTGAAGATACCCTGGGATGAGATATATTAACATTTGGCTGCAGTGGAAAGGCATATCTTTGTATTTGTCCTGCAGGGTTGGATATTAATTCTACCATGAGGACCCTTCTCTGGGCATCTGGAAACAGCATACTTGTCCTTAAGGGGATTGGTGGTGGCTGATTGAGATTAAACTCTTTTGAGGTTTTCTAGTTCTTCAAATAGGTCTGTCCCTAGAAAGCACTATTGGGTGAGTCAGTGCCCAGAAAATATTTGCCCAGCAATTTAAAAGATGTTCTATTTCGTTAACTGACTGTGAGCTGGATACTCCCTTCTCTTTGAGAGCCCCTGAGAATCGTACTGAAAACCTAAAGAAGGTATGCTAGTACATTTTGGCACTGGCACTTCGAAGCACACCAGTGGCTCTTGCTGGTAAGATCTGAATGGGATGGGCAAGATGGCAGGCACCACATGGTCAATTATGCAGCTATAACCTTGGAAGGCAAAGGGAAAGCCGAGGCGAATTGCCTTTCAGAGTCCTGGGAATTTGAGATTGGAGGCTGTAGCATGGTGAACCCTACTTGTTTAGGTTATGCAAGGGAGGGGAATTTTTCAGTTATCTTAAAAGGATCAGTTATTGAACTGATCAGATTTATTATCAAGGGTGTGATGAGTTTGAAACTTGAAATGGCATATTATAGCGTCTCAAGGTTTGGTTTTTGTCTTCAGTTCCAATTTGACATCATAATGCAGTAAGAGGAAAAAAACTGAAGTTGCATCTGTGTGCAGTATGTTCATCTAGAAAAAAAAGATACAATCTAATTAAAATGGATTTAAATATTTAATGGGATAACACTGAAATATTACCTCAGACGCTTACAGAAGCTGACATATAATCATCCTTAGGAGGGTATATTTTCTGAGTTTTAGTAATGGAAGGACAAGTCTTATTTTATTTTTCTTTGAAGTATTGTTACTGTGAAGCTAACCTGTATATTTTATTACAGCAGTTATATAAAATCATGTAATCAAAATCTACAGTTATATACCAAATACATGAAATATGTTGACAAAAGGAAAAAAATTAAAAAAAAACAACCCTAATTCAAAATATGCAGTTTGATATAGTATTTGCTACTTGCAGAGAAAAGATGGCTCCCTGTGATTCAATTGAAATCTTTTGCTAGTGGGAATGAGACATTTGTTCACTCTTTTTGCAGTCCCTAATGTCTTCTGAAAAAATTGCTCCCCAAAGTTAACAACATTTTCAGGGACAGCAGCATAGATAATGTTAAGCCTTGCTAAAGATAAGAAATGTATGAAAATTGTTTTTCTGTCCCTCTTCCAGTAGTTCCTGCTAATCAGTGTGCCCTGAATGGAACTCATATCAGAGACGTGCGTATTTTGTTATCTTAGTATTATTTTAAAAATTACAGTGACAAAGGCCATGTAGATGAGAGAACTTGTATATAATATTAAGTAGGTTCTAGTTTAAAAAAGGAACACTATTTTTCAAAGTACAGTTTGAAATGTGTGGGATACACGAGTTTAAAGCATCAAAAGACTTGCATCCTGTAACTTGAACACGTTCACATTGTCTGAGTCGTCTTTGACATTCTCCTTTGTGAGTTTGACCCTTATCTCTCTCTGTCTTGCCTGTCAATGTTGTTACAGCTACCTTATCATAGCTTTTTTTCTTTCTGAAGACTCAAACAAGATAAAGTAGGTGCTGCAATTCAGCCTTCTCTGTGTTATTTGTCAACAATCCTAGAACCAAACTCTGCTTTTATTTTACTAAAAAGCATTACATAAAAATTTTGATTGATGGAAACCCTACTGGGTAATGGCAGCCAGTATCTACTGTATCCAACAAGCCTAAGGTGTACTCCCACCAATATCCAAAGAAAGGGAAAACCCATGACTTTCTATAGATGGAGCGACTTACAGGAGTGACTTGCAGTCTTCCCTACTGGCTTCCCCATTGACTTTGCTTGTGGGAAGCCAGCAAAGAAGATTGCAAGTGGTAATCACATGGCTGTGGCACACTGCAACTGTTGTAATTGCAAATCTTTTGCCAATCACCCAAATTGTGCTCACATGTCTATGGGGATATTGCAGTGGCTGCAACTTTGAGGACCTGTTGTAAGTCCCCTTCTTCATCATAACTGAAGACTTTGTTGTGGTCCACCAGCAGCCTATGGACCTGACAGCGGAGCCAGACAGTGAGGAGGCTGGGGAGGACAATGGGCCAGTCCTGGAGTTGGGAAGCCCAGGAAGAGAGCTCTGCATCGGAGGCAGAGATGGGGACAGGACCATCTGGGAGCGATGCATGGACTCCGGAGCCTCCAGAGGCGGACAACACAGAGGCAGAGGAACAGGAGGAGTCTGTTCCTAGTGCACGCATGCGAAGAGCTGCCAGAAGGCAAGAGCAGCTGAAGCAAAAAGGACGACTCAGGAATAAGTCCAGAAGATGATTGGCCTCTCCCATAAGGCTAAAAAGAGCAGCAACGAGCCATTGGGTTCTTTGTAGAAAAGCAACGTTGATTCCAGTGCTTCTTGTCAGCGTCTCTTGAACTTTGTAGGGTTTCAAAGGTTGGGGATAAGGCCGTAGGACTGGTTATGAAGAATTTGTTTTGAATTATGAATTAATTCTCAGCTGTTTTAATAAAATAAGTTCGTTCAGGACTGAATTGTGTTTGGTAATCACTATGTGGGCCTTCGTCACAACAGAGTTGTTGAACAAGTCATAATCGATGGACTACCTGTCTTTGCTAATCAATAGAATATGGAAGACTGCAACCAGTGGCATCCATGGCGGGAATGGGGCAAGTTTTGCCACAGCCAACTTGTGGTAAATTCACTGAGACTAACTCGCCACAGCAAACTTGCAGTGGATGAATTCACCATGGCCAACTGGCTGCAAGGCAACTCATTGGGGGAGGCAATTTAATAATTCTATTTAAATAAATAAAAATTATTTTAATTTTTGCCATTCACATTTCATTCTGTCGCTTCTTTTGTATCCTTTCTTTAATGATTCTATTCCATCATTTCTTTGATATTAGT